TTCTTGGAGATTCCCTCTGTAGAGGGACGTGCCCGACTTGACCCTGGGGCCCAGGCCTGGCCCTGGCCTGGCACGGCGGTGGTGTCCAGACGCCCTCGTCGGACCCCGGGCCTTGCCACACGGTCGCCCTCCCGGCTCCGCGGGGGGGCGCAGGGGGCGAGCTCCGCCTCGAGGCCGGCCCCTGGTGCGCCACGCGCTGGCCCTCCTCGCCCGCGCCTTCCAGTGAAGGGGCCCGGGGACACGCAAATAAATAGACACAACTAACAAGATTTCCAATATTTGTTTCAATATGTTCTGGGCTTTTGTCTGCCCCCCCACTTCCCATATTCTCCCATCCTTTCCGGGGGATCGACGAATAATTGTGTCTGTGTGTTTTTCCCCTCCTGATACAGGCAACCCTGGGGGGACAGGGGCCTGGAGGACCCAGCCGGACCCGGCTTCAGAAACGCGCAGCTCTTGAGCTGGGTCCGTCTTCCCTTAGCAAATTATTGCTGGAAGCTTAAGAGTAATTCCGGGGCGCTGGAGAGCTAGTTGGCAAGAAAAATCTCGACGGACCTTTTGCTGACTTTTGGTCGGTTGAAAATTTTGTTCTCGAAATTCAACAATTCGTTTGAGCTCTAGTATTTTTTCCCATGATATTCGATCTTATTCCCGCTCGCCATCTCGATCTCAGCTCGATCGGGTATCTCTTACTGCCAAAAAGCAGGCAGGCGGGATCGGCCGTTTCAAGTCATCTTGACACGCGATGACAGTTTTCTGAAGATCGCTCGAGCTGTAGGACAGCTACAGAGCTGGTAAGCACAGCTAATCGATTCAGAATGATCAGGCGCGCTCGCCTGTTGAATCTAGAGGTCTGAACTCGGTCTGTTAGCCGAGCTAGGTCCGCACTCTTATTCGTATTATTCGGGTCATCTTGATAGACGTTCTCGGTTTTCTGTACTTAACTCGAGCTATAGGACAGCTACAGAGTTGATACTTACAGAAACCGATTCTGATTCATCAGTGGCATTTGTCTGTTGAATCCAGAGCTCTGAACTCGGTCTGCTGCTCGATCTTGAATCGCGAAACTATTCGTATTGTTCGAGTCATCTTGCGAAGTGCTCTCGGTTTTCTGCACTCAACTCGGGCTGGGGGGGGGGGCTACAGTGCTGGTGGTCACATGAATCGATTTGAAGACATCAGGCGCGTCCGCCTGTCGAATCCAGAGCTCGGAATTCGCTTGCCGAACTACTCCGCACAACTATTGTATTGTTCGAGTCATCATGAGAGGTGCTGTCGATTTACGCACGTAACTCGGGCTGTAGGGTGGCTGCAGGGCTGGTAATCACAGGAGTCGATTCGCAGATGTCAGACGCGTCCGCCTGTCGCATTCAGAGATCAACTCGGTTTGATACTCGAGCTGGGTTGCCAAACTATTCGTTTTCTTAGAGTCATCTTGAGAGGTGCTGTCGATTTACGCACGTAACTCGGGCTGTAGGAGAGCTACAGAGCTCGTAAAGAAGACAATCCAGAAGCATTGGGGGCGTTCGGCGGTTGCATCGAGAGGTCTGAAATCGCTTGGGCTGAAAACTATTCGTTCTCTGCATTTTTTCCCACATTATATATTGTCAGGAAGCTCTACGAGTCTCCCGGCGGTAAGAAAGGTTGACGGTTTACCGCCGGCGCCCAGTTTTCAAACACACGCAGTCTTTGGAGCCGGGTCCGGCCTCAGAAGCACGCAGCTCTCGCAAGCCGATTCCTCCACCCTGTGTCTCTACAGACATCGCGCTATTATAGGTAACGCCGAAGAAGAGCGAAGGGGCTGCTCTGGCCACGGCGGGACTCGGCCACGAAGGGGTTCCCCGACGCAGCTCGCAGGAGCGGCCTGACAAGCAGGCCCCGTCTTGAGCCCAAAGCGGTCCTGATTTCGGCGTGCCCGCAACCCCGGAAGGCTGCGCAACCTGCGTATATCCTCATCCTCCCCCTCCTCCTCCTCCTCCTCCTCCTCCTCCTCCTCCTCCTCCTCACCCCCTTCCGTCTCCCTCTCACCCTCCTCCCCGTTGCTCTCCCTCTCACCCTCCCTCTCCCTCCTTTCACTCCCTCTCGGCATCCCTTCTCCCTCCTCTCCTCCCGGAGCCATGTTGGCCCAAGGCGACCTCTGGCACCGTGCTTCCAAATTTGATCAGGAGGTGATCGGGGCGCGGCGCCCCGCGGGCTGGCAAGGCACACCGTGCGTCCATTCGCGCGGCGGGCCCGTTCACTACTCGCACGAGTGCGCGGCATGCAGCAGGATCTCGTGTCGATGCGGCCGAGCGGCCGAGTATGCTACACGAGGGGAGAAGGACGCACACGATGGCCACCCCCAGGCACGAGGCCCATTACATGTCAGCGCGCAGCCCGAAGTAGGAACCGGCCAGGACGGGACTGTGGAGCAAGCGCACGCACACGGCCGCTGAGTAAATGCAGATGGTGGTGGCCGGGCTGGCTCTTCCAAATCAAAGCTGTCAGAGGAAGAACTGGTCCGGATTGACCAGTCTACCTTTGAGCCGAGGACACGCGATCTAAAGCTTGTGCCACTGATTAGAAAAGAATACTGTGAATGTCTAAAACTCTCTGGCTGCAGGCTGGAATTCTAAAAGTCTTGCCGATCAGTTGTGCACCAGTCGATCCTGAGATAAGAAAGATTGGGCAGATCCAAGCAACAAACTTGTTCTACAAGGCGGCTCCGCCTGTTATTACCTTCTTGAGTCCGGCGACTTGTGATCTATCGCGTGCACCAACCGGCGGTGCAAGCGCGTGGATGAACGCTTTGCGTGCTTCCCGACGCTGGTGTGCGTGGTCATGTGATACGTGTCGGGTTCGCCGTCACCGTAGACCTTCACTCTGCATCATGTCCCTCCTCCGTTTTTCTCGTCCCCATCTACCTCGTCCCCCTTCTCCTCCTCCTCCTCCGTCTCCTCCTCCTTCTCCTCCTGTGCCTTCCCTTCTCCTCTTCCTCCCTCAACTCCCCCTCCTCCCCCCGGTCACTTCCTCCTCCTTTCCCTTTCCTTGACCCCTCCTTTCCCCTCAAAATCTTCCTAATCATCACTTCTGCTCCTCCCTCCTCTCCATTATGCAACTCTCCCTTCTACTCCTCCTAGACGCCCTCCTCATCATCGCCCTCTCCCGACGACTGCGACGGCGACGATGTCGGCCCCGGCTGTGACGGCGACGACGACAGGCGAACGACGACAGGCGAACGACGACAGGCGTCGTAGACGACGGCGGCGACGACGGCGGCGGCGACGACGACGACGACGCGTCGGTGGCGGCGGCGACCGCAAAATCGGCGGCACCGCCGACCGCAGAGGCGACCGCGACGGCGACGGCGACGACGGCGGCGACCGCGACGGCCAGCGGCAAGCGGCGAGCCGCTCCGAGAGGGCCTGGGGCGCCCGGCGGCGCCGCCCGGGGCCTCCTCTCCGGCGTCCGCCCGCGGCCTCGACGCCGAGCCCGGGCTGACATATCTGGCCCACTGGGCGGCGGGGGGAGGCGGCGGCGGCGGCGTGCGATCCACGCTTGGAAAGCGTCTCCCTCGTCGTGGTCGCCGTCGTGCTCGCCGCCGTGGTCGCCGCCGTGGCCGCCGTCGTGGCCCCGTCGCGGTCGTGGCCGCCGTCGTGGCGTTTCCCTCCTCGCGGTCGTGGCCGCCGTCGTGACCACCCTGGGCCCCAGGCTGACATCTCTGGCCCACCCGGCGGCGGAGCGGCGGCGGCGGCGTCCTGCGATCGAGGCTTCACCGCGTCTCTTGTCGTGGTCGCCGTGGTCACCCTGGGACGTGGCGTTGGCCGTGGCCGTGGTTGCCGTGGTCGTGGTCGTGGTCGCCGTGGTCACCCCGGGAACGGCAGGGCGGCAGGGCGCCGGCGGCGCCGCCGCCGTCGCCGCCGCCGCCGTCGAGACCCACACCTCTGGCGCTTAGTGGGCCCTGGAAACGACAGGGCCGTTTTGTTACCGGTTCCGTTTTGCCGTTTTTGATGCCAGTTCCGACGCCGCTTTTTGACCGGTTACGTCGCCGTTTTTCGACCGGTTCCGGCTCCGGTTCCAGTCCTTGAGCCGTTTTTTTTTGCCGTTTCCGGTCGCCGCTTTTCTGCCGCTTCCATTTTCAAGGGGCATTCTTTCTGGGAGCGGTGAAAAAACAGCCCTGCCGTTTCCGGGGCCCACAGAGCTCCGGCGGATACCAGCAACCTCCCCAGACCCCCGACGTCATGATTTTTTCATGACGTCGACCCCCAGAGGTTTGGACCCATTCCCCAGGACCGGTTTTTCATCCTGAATCGTTTTTTGACGGTCCCGAGGCCCGGTAGGGGCCCCCCAAAGCCGCAAATATGGAAAAACCTCCCGTCGTGATTTTTTCATGACTCGAGGGGGTCTGGGTCTGCTCAGTCCCCGCACTCTTCCCCGAGCTTCTGCCTCCGGGGGAGGACGCCCTCGGGCGCCTGGGCAGCGGATCCAGAGGGACTCTCGGGAGCGGCCAGGAGGGGGGTGTCCAAGAGGGGGGGGTGCACATCGTGACCGGCGGCACGTGCGCGGCCCAGCGGGGGGGCCAGGGGCCCAAGGAAAAAGAGGCGCCCTGACATCTGGGGAAATGTCATGGCCCTCGCCATGAGTTCACCCCCCTCCTAGTCATCACCCCCCTCTTTGCCGCCCCCTCCTCCTCCTGCCCGGCGGCAGAGGTAGGCCGCCTCCTCCTGCCCGGCGGCAGAGGTAGGCGGGGAGGAGGGGGAGGAGGAGGAGGAGGAGGAGGAGGAGGAGGAGGAGGAGGAGGACTGTAGTGTATTGCTGATGCCCTTGAGGGTAGGCATAACCCTGTGAGGACGGATGGGGCTCTGGGGCTCACCCACCCTTGTTACCGTGCCCCCAGGTACAAGGACCGTGGTAGGCACACGGTATGAGAGGTAGCATACCTTTCATCGGCAACCTCCGTTGTGAAGACCGTGGCTCGTCCTTACTCGGCTTGTGCGCCAGAGCAATCGGAGCGTATCAGCACACGCTGGAGGTGAGTGTGAATGAGGGGCGATGGATTCCACACCTCCTGACTGCATGGACGATGCGGCGGAGCGAGGCCGCCAAGGTAATGAGGCTCAGAGTATACAGCGCTGAATGCCAGTGCGTGCGCGTGCGGCGGGATGCAACAAGGGAGTAGGTGGCTGATATAATAAGTGGACAACGTCAACCCACGCCACCATTGTGCTGCGTACCCCAACGGTTACACGACGCGACGCGACGGCAAGCTGAGAGGCAATGGTTACCTCACCTCCTGCCGGCATGGACGATGCGGCGGAGTGAAGACGCCAAGGTAATGAGACTCAGAGTAAACAGCGCTGTATGCCAGTGCGTGCGCGTGCGGCAGGGTGCAACAAGGGAGTAGGTGGCTGAGATAATATGTGGCCAACGTGTCCTCACGCCACCTCTGAGCTGCGTACCCCTACGGTTACACAACGCGACGCGACGGCAGGCAAGGGGATCGCGCGCCGAAGAATACGATTCGACCCGCGGCCGCATAACCATCTGAGAGGCGATGTTTTCCTCACCTCCTGCTGGCATGGACGATGCGGCGGAGTGAACAAGCTGGCCCAGAACGCATCCTGGGACCATACCTGCTGAGGCCGGCGCGCCTCACGTAGGCCCTCTGCCCAAGACTGGGAGGATACGAACTTCGAGAGTTTCGTATCGGGTGCGACCCCCAGAAGGCTCACGGCGAGGGGCATCTCCGACCTTCAAAACCCCTTCGGGTTTCGGGGACGATGAGCTTGGCGAGTCATTGAGGACGAGTCGGTTCCCCAGTTGTCCGTTTCCCTGGGGGGGTCCTCAGTTGTCCGTTTCCCTGTGCCCCGCTGGCAAGTATGGGGATGGCCCAGCTGGGCAGCGTGGGACCTTACACCGTCTCACCTCGGGGTTCCCCAAGAGGCCTTCCCGAGACGGGGCCGAGGGGCGCAGCGGTGGCACCTCCTGCGAGCCGAGTAACGATAAAGACATCGATTAATCCAACCACCCGCCTCGGACTGGGGGTGGGGGATGCTGCTCAAGCTTGGCTCAGGCGTGGCTCATGCAATGAGTTTATACGACTGAAGGGCCCCACTAGCATAATGCGGATGACGACGCAAACTGTGGACACCGATCCACAACCGCGACGCGATTCCGAACACGCTGGGTGCCGAAAAGAAAGAGACTGGGGCGCCAGAGTTCTATGAAGGGGATGTCCCGGTTGGGCACCACGGGGTCTTGCACAATCTTACCTCAGGGTTCCCCAAGAGACGTCTGGCGATAAGGCCTGGCGGAACCTCAGGCCTGCGACCTCAGGAGGCCGCTGAGGGGCCCCAGGTGGTCGCCGAGGCCGGGATGCCGGGGAGTGGGGATAGTAAAGGCTTTCCCCCCACAATGAAGCATAAAACAAACAAATACTCACCAACCCACCTGTAACAAGGAATTTGTGGGCCTGTCGGCGGGCCCGTTTTGGGGCCAACGTGCATCGGAAAGGCGCTTCCGGAGCTCGCTGGGCAGACCCCGTGCGAACACTACTTGGTTAGGACCGCCCGCGGATCCTAACGGTGTCACGGGGTATTCCCGAGGACAAGGATGAGGCCAGCGGACCCAAGTCACCCTTGTAAGACTAACAGGGCTTAGTGAGCATGCCCCATGAAGACAATTGTGCAGGACCGCCGGCATTGTCGCCGGGCTGTGTCCTGGAGGCCCGACCCTCCGACGTGAGCATGCGGTGCCGCTTCCTTCTCCGTGCCAATGCAGCTTCGGACACTATGCCTGCACCACTGGATTTCCTAAACACTGCTGCTGCAATACAGCTTGAGATAAATGATTATCTTGCCAAGTCGGCGGCGGACACGATAGCTTGCACCACTGGTTTATCTAACCACTGCTGCTGCAATACCAAGCGATGCGTTTGAGCACTGCCAACATCCTCGTCCCCTCACTCCTGGGCGCGGTTATCTTCATTGGGCACCGCTCTGGTGCATCGGACCGCGGTGGGAGGGAATGCGCCACAGAGCCGCCAGCCACAGTGTATCCCGGCAGGATACGTCTGCTTTCTCCCGCTCGCGACTGACGCGCCTCAGCGCGCTGGACGCACGAAACGTGTGAGAATCCTCCGCATCCTCCAAGGGCGATGAGGGGAGGAAGGAGGAGAGAGGAGAAGTTTGGGGGTGAAGGCAAGAGTGGCGCGTGCAAGAGCGGGCCGCGAGGCCCGCGCAGCACGAGGGGTGTTATCGCCGTGGGCCTGGCGTCTAGGGGATCCCCTTGCCAGCCCGTGGCGTGAGCGTAATCTGTGAATGCACGAAAGCTGGCCCGGACGCTGGCCAGCGTCTAACAGGAGATAAGCAATGTTAGCCGGACAGAATGATATTACGCAGGACTGTCGGCCTTGCCGCCAGACTGTGTCCTTGAGGCAAATGCCTCGCGACATGCTTGCAAAGTTACACTGTGGATGCACGAAAGCTGCAAATGAAGCTGGCCAACCTCTGATAGGAGATAACCATGGTAGCAGAGTGCGATTGTGCAGGACTGCCGGCCTTGCCGCCAGGCTGTGTCCTTGAGGCGAATGCCTCGCGACGTGCGTTCATAATCTGTAGACGCACGAAAGCTGGCCTTGACATTGGCCATCGTCGACTAGAAGACAACCCATGGTAGCCGCAAAGCGTGAGACTGTGCAGGACTTCCGGCCTTGCCGCCCGGATGTGTCCTTGAGGCTACTGCCTCGCGACATACTTGCATTATCTGCGATTCCACGAAAACTGGCAATGACGCTGGTAGGCGTCAGCCATGCAAGCCGGACAACATGGGGTTATGCAGGACTGCCGGCGTTGCCGCCAGGCTGTGTCCTTGAGGCGAATGCCTCGCGACATGCTTAGACAAACAGTGGATGCACGTAAGCTGAAACTGAAACTGGTCGACGTCTGATAGGAGGAACCATGGCAGCAGAATGCAAATGTGCAGGACTGCCGGCCTTGACGCCGGGCTGTGTCCTTGAGGCGAATGCCTCGCGACGTGCGTTCATAATCTGTGGACGCACGAAAGCTGGCCCTGACTCTGGCCATCGACGAATAGGAGACAAGCCATGGTAACCACAAAGAGTGAGACTGTGCAGGACTGCCTGCGAATTGCGGACGAGCAGCTCTTCTCATCCTCGAGGGGGGCAGGAGGAGGGCGAGCAGCGGGGGGCGAGGCCCGTGGCACGGGGTACAAGCGTGGCGCGAGCATCGAGGCTCGACGTTCGGGGATCGGGGCTTCTGGGTGTCTTCTGGTCCCTCTTGGGCCTCTTTGACGCCCTCTCGTGGTCGCCGTGGTCGTGGTCGTGGTCCTCCAGGTGCCGTGGCCGCAGCGGGGGAGGAGAATAGGCAGAGAGGGGGCGGATGCTGATGGGGGCGGACAGGGATGGGGCGGAGGAGTGAATGAGAGAAAAGGAGAGAGAGAGAGAGAGAAAAAAAAAAACAGAAATTGAGAGAGAGAGGGAGAGAGAGAGAGAGAGAGAAAGAGCGAGAGAGAGAGAGAACACAACAAACAACCAGAGCGCACAACACACCAGCGCAACCGGATCTCAGGAAAGCGCTCCGCCCCCCACCCGAGGAGGCCACCCGCTGGCGGCCCAGGGCCTGCGGCAGGCCGACGGCGTCGCTGCCGGGCTCGTGTAGCAGCGCGGGCTGCCGCACGAGGCCGCTGGGCTCGGCCTCCGGGCGCGATTTCTCCGCGCGTGCCACCGCCGCCGCCGCGTCCGCGTCGGCGTCGGCGTCGGCGTCGGCGTCGGCCTCGGCGTCGTGGTCGCGGTCGGGGTCGGCGTCGTCGTCGGCGCCGTCGTCGGGGTCGTCGTCTTCGTCGTTGCCGTTGTCGGCGTCGGCGTCGGCGTCGGTTTCGTCGGTTTCGTCGTCGGCGTCGGCGTCGGCAACGGTTCTCCTCCTCCTCCTCCTCCTCCTCCTCCTCCTCCTCCTCCTCCTCTGCCTCTGCCTGCTCCTTCTGCTCATCCTCTTTCTCGTCGTTGCCCCCGGTCCTCCGCATCCTTGTCCGCCTCGTCCGCTTGCGGCCCCCTCGAAGCACCATCGACTGACATCCTGGCCTCCCAAAAAACTCGGGGCGTCCAAGAGGAGGGCCGCCAGTCATGGTCGGCGGCATGTGCTCGGCCCAGGGTGGGGCCAGGGACGTCATGAAACAAGAGGAGGCGCCATTAGATCTGAGGAAATACCATGGCCCGCGCCATGCTATCTCCCCCCCACCTGGTCATCCCCCCCCCCTCTGCCGCCCCCGATAAACAGCTCGTCCCCCTCCTCCCCCCCCCCCTCTCCCCGATAAACAGCTTGTTCTCTCCTCACCCCACTGGCTTTCTCGCCCCTCCTCCCCACCATCCACTCTCCACCCCGCATCCCCCTCCCCCTCCAGCGCTGCCAGCTCGCCAGGCAGAGGCAGCCCGGCGGCCTGCGGAGTTCCATCACTTGAGGCTCGACATGTACTTTGCGATCTGGGCCCCTCGTCCGAAGGCAGGGTAACCACCCTCCTGAGAAACACTAAGACAAAGCCAGGACAGGGACGAAATCGGACCAGATCGGACCAGGACAAATCTGGGATCTCTGAGATCCGAAACTTAGATGAGGAATCCAGGGTCTGGAGGCCAGTGGGACTCCCATCGAGGCTTGGCCATGGATATCACCGCCGCCCTCATCAGATAAGGAACCCTCCAGAGTCTGCAGCCTCCTGGGCTCATTTCTTAACCAGCGCCCCCACCGTACTTTGCGGCCTGGGCCCCTCGTCAGAAGGCAGGGTAGCCACCCTCGTAAGAAGCACTGGGACAAAGCCAGGACAGGGACGAAATCGGACCAGGACAAATCTGGGATCTCTCAGGAGGGTGTGTCGGGCGCCGCGGCCTTCTCAGAGCGTTCTGGAACGAACCGAGAACGTCGAGGAACGCTCTGGAACGATTTATCCCTGTCCCCGCCCAAGCACCCCTGCAATCCAAGCCCTTCAGTAAGCGCGCCCAAGGAAGAAACCAGATCAGGCACATGGGATGGACTGTCTGGCACACACCAGGCATGGGTGTCGGGGAATCTTCTCCTCCCCTGGCTTATGCTTGACGGCCCACAGCATCAGGGATACGACGTCGACGAGCAGCTGGCACCGGCAAGCGTCGGGACGCACGCAGCGTGAACCCAACGCCGCCGTGGAAACGCAGCGCGCCCGACTGTCGACGGGGGAGCCGGCTGGCCATGGCGTAAAAAGCACTGCGGCGAGAGTTGGGCCAACCCGCCAACGTCCCTCTTGATGAATCCAGTTGGCCGTGGAGCTGCTGGTGCGCCCGCGCGTGATCATGCGACACCCGTCCCAGGTCAAGTCCGCATCCCGAGGGTTGGAGCCCCAGTGGCGTCGCCCTCTGGCCATTGCCCCGCGTCGGCTGAACATGTCAACCCGGCCCCCGTAGACGGACATCATGGACAAGACTCACCATGTGGTGCCCAGTCTCGCCTGGACGGCGATCATAAGGGCAAGGGCGAGGGAAAGGGAAAACCCACAGCGACCACTTCACCGCGCATCTCCATCCAGCGTCTCTGGACGGTAGATCGATGTTCCCGAGCTCCGGCTTGATAACACCCACAAGGCTTGCCGCCGTCCTGGAGCGATATGGCAAGACATTCAGGCGATGGCCAACGCCTTGCTCGAGAAGACTCGTGCCATCACCAGCAACACCCGGCAAAAACACACCGGCAACCTGTCCGCTTCAGCGGAGAACTGACGCAAGACAGCTTCGCGCGAGAAACCTGCTGCCAGCGGTGTCGCAGCGCCGCCTACGGTGCACCCGTCGAGCTCACCCGAGGCACGTGCCTCCTCGGCTGAGCTGGCACCTGCAAGGTCCCATGCGTGCGTGCGTGCGCGTGCCGGGTGCCCGAGTCCCTGCGCGACGGGCGCGGCCTCCTCCCCCGCGCCGCGCCTGCCACGAGGGCGACGTGACACCGCTGCCCCAGGCTTCTCGCGAGCCGGCGGCGATCCTGGCCCCTGTTCTCGGCGGGACCCTCCCAGTGAGGGCCCAGCTCGCGAGGCCCCCGCGCCGAAGGGTCCCCCCGAGGCAGGGCCCCGCGCGACGGGGCCTCGCACCGAGGAGGAGGAGGAGGAGGAGGAGGAGGAGGAGGAGGAGGAGGAGGAGGAGGAGGAGGAGGAGGAGAGGGAGGAGAGGGGAGGGGGAGGAGGGAGGAGGAGGAGGAGGAGGAGAGGAGGAGAGGCGGCGCGACGGGGCCTCGCACGGGGGAGCTCCGCACGACGCGGCCCCCACGCGCCGGGGTCGCGCAGGGCAGGGCCCCGCGCGCGGCGGCCCCATGTGGTATACAGGTCCCTCGCGGGGAGGCCCTGCGTGGCATGACCGCACACGGCGTGGCCCCGCCCGAGAGGCTCCTCCTCCTCCTCCTCCTCCTCCTCCTCCTCCTCCTCCTCCTCCTCCTCCTCCTCCTCCTCCTCGACAGGGCGTCGCACGGCAGGGCGTCGCACGCCGGAGCCCCGCACGATCGGCTACCGCACGGTGGGGCCCCGCCCCGCGCGGCCCCAAACACGAGGGGATCCCAGGAGGGGTCCCACACGGCACGGTGCCAATGGGAAAGGGTTCGGCATGAGGGGGGGTCCTAATCACACGATGGGGCCCCACACACAAAGAAGTCCCTGAAACAGGGACCCGCAGCACAAGAGGATACCACATCATAGGCCCCCGCACGATAGGGGCCCGATCATAGATGCCCCCGCCAAGATGGGACACCACACGGCAAGGTCCCACACAGTAGGGACCCACACGGTAGGGTCCCACACGATTGTCACCCACCCTGTAGGATCCCACATGGTGGGGTCCCGCACGACGGGGTCTCGCTTGATTTGGCATCGCCCGCAGATGGCTCCCCACACATTGCACCTCGTGGTCTGCACGGATAGTCCACGCCAACATCTTCTCGGAAGGCCGACCGATAGCTTGACCGGAGTATTAGAACATGACGCGGATCAGACGACTCGAATTGCCGTCGGCCTACAGGCGATTGAGGGAGAGCAATGGTGGGCGCACGCGAACACGCACATACGTACTTCCTCCTCTTTCTTTTCCATCTGTTCCTCCTGCACCTCGGGCTCCTCCTACTCATCCTCCCTCGTCGTCATCGTCGTCAACCTCCTCCATCTTCTCGTGCTCCTCTGGAGCGCGTTTCTAGATTCGCGCCGATAACGGGCGTTATGGGGGGGAGGGGGAGGGGCACAATGCCGCCGTGCGGTTCCGGCGTCACCACAGTGTCCGCGCGCACGACGACGACGACGACGACGAGCGACGACGACGGGGTCGGCGACCGGCGACGACGACGACGACGACGACGACGAGCGACGACGACCACAACAACGACGACAAGGACGACGAGCGACCACGACGACGACGACAACGACGACGACGAGCGACGAGCGACGACGACGACTACGAGCGACGACGACGACGACGACGACAACGACGACGAGCGACCACGACAACAACAACGACGACGACGACGACGACGACGACGAGCGACGCCTCCGGAGGTCTGCGGAGGATTCCCGAGGCCTCCAGAGGCCTCCTCAGGCCTCTAGAAGCCTGCGGAGGCCTTCCCGAGGTCATCCGAAGGCCTCCGGAGGCCCTCGAAGATATTTTTCAGGCGTTGGACAACGACGAGCGACTGCGAGCGATGACGACCGACGACGACGACGACGACGACGACGACGAGCAACCACGACGACGACGACGAGCGACCACGACGACGACGACGACGACGACGAGCCACGACGACGATGACGATGACGACGACGACGAGCGACGGCGAGCGACGACGACGACGATGACGACGACGACGACTGCGGCGACGACAACGACGACGACGACGACCGACAACCACGAGCGACGAGCAGATGTGGCGAGCACATGCCTGCGAAGGCGTCGTTGCCTCCACGTGGCGTATGAGGGGTATTCTCTTCACTTCACTTCTGCATCCTTGTCGTCGTCGTCGTCGTTGTTGTTGTCGTCGTCGTCCTCCTCTTCCGATTGCTCACTCTGACGAACGCCACTAGTGCCCGAGAGCACCGCAACTTGCCCGCGACCGCCGCCCTTATGCAGATCCCTTCTAGAGACCCCTGGAGATCCCTGTGCGCATCCCTATGCGGATCCCTATGCGGGTGCCTATGTGGATCGCTGTTTGGATGCCTGTGGGGAGTCCCAATGCGGATGCCTACGCGAATTGCCATGCGGATCACTATGAAGATCCCCATTCGGATCTCTATAAGAATCCCTGGGAATCCCAATGCAGATCTCTATGCAGATCCCGATGGACATCTTTATGCGATCCCCATGCGGATCCTTATGGGGATTTCTGTGCGGATGCGGATGCCTATGCGGATCCCTATTCGGGTTTATGCGAATTCCTGTGCGCACGGAGACAGTGCCGGGGGCGCAATGGGGGCCAGAGCGTTACGTCATGGGGGGGGGGGGCGGTGGGGGCATAATGCGCGTTATGATTCAAGCAATAAAGAATCAGCAGGCTCTTGCCTCCTCGCTCACGCCACGCAGCCAAGATAACACCGCCAAATCGAACGCCGTCCAGACGTGCGTGAAATCTGCGCTCGAACCCCCCTCCTCCCCGCTGCCCGGTCTCTCTCCGCGTGACGGGGAGAGGGGAGGAGGATGAGGGGCAACGGGATG